ATTTTGAGAATCTTAATATTTTGTATAATTTTATTAATAAAAATACTAAAAATGCTATAATTCTCAAAATTTTACTAATTAATTCTATGCTTTAGATAAACTTGTTCAGCACACAAAAATACATTATGCCAGTATATTTAATTTTATATTTATTAAAAATATATGTGATAATTTAATTTTTAGCAAATTACTATACAATTTATATGTAACAATTGAATTTTTAGCAAATTTATTTAATTTTAGGGGTAGCAAAAACCCCAAAATTCATGCAGATCAGTTATGACCTATATTGAAGATGTCTGGGGTTCTGTTGTGAATTAAATTACTATAAAAAACGCTTACTCACTTTTTTGATAACACATAGTACTTGATAGTATTATATACTCAAATGTGAGTTAAAAGAACATTAAAGTTAAAATTGTCAAAATAATATGGGCATAAATACTTACATAATTTTAATTTATAGTAGTCATTTATTCTTATTATTGAAAAGATTGTTAGATCGAAATTTTTAATTTTTTTTGAAAATCACATAATAATATCTAATTTTAGAGAAGTTTTTAGTAATTATACCGCGTTCTAAAAGATGCGCGTTATTACGTGCCTATATTGTAAAAATGATCTATGCAGCAGCTAACCAATAAAAATTTTGTTACACAATTTAATTGCATAATTTATATGGATAATCTAAATATTATCATTATACATAAATTTTTTTAGTATATAGTTATAGATATAGATAATGCAATTAATCAGTATGAGATAAACTATATCAAATACTAATAATTTTATATGATAGATTGGCTTTGACCGAACCTGTTTTACTATTATTAGATTTATATACCAGATGCGACGAAATAGGAAATAAATTTCGTAATAACATTCATGCCTACAATAGTATTTTTGCTTTCACGTTTATGAGAGTCAAAATAGATAAAACCTTGGCTAATAGTAAATGTCAAAAAATAATTTAATTTAAATAAATGAACTATTTAATTAATATATTAACTGACCAAATACTTATATAAGGAGAAGATGGCATGTATATGTTTCGTATACAGGGTGAAATATATTACTCTATTGGATCTCTTTTTCCTGATATCAAAAAACCAAAATTTTTACAACTATATATCTATAACACTGAACACGAGACCAATAATCAACTCGCAATAATACCTAATTTTCATAAAAACACTTTAGAGTTAATCAAAGAAATATTAAACCAATTTAACTCTTTCATGACCAATTTTCGTTCTATAGCTACGAATAGTATAGATAATCTTCGCCTTATTATAAAAGCTGATCATAGTTTAGATCAACGTATATACAATACACTAACTGCTTCACAAGTCGCAGCCGTGTGGATAAATAGTCATGATCCTGTAAATCCGACAAAACGTAATATTATTGTAAAAACTAAATCTCGAAACCTGCAATATATCTCCGAAATGAACAGATCTTACAATCTGATACAATACCCACTTTTCTTTCCTAGAGGAGATTATAGATGGAATCTTGAAATATTACAGAATGCATCTCTAAAAAAAGTAACTACAAGACAATATTACACATACAAATTACACATTCATGAGAATTCTCTGACATTAATTCACCATGGAAGAAGACTTTTACAACAATATATTGTTGATAATTATGTTAAAATTGAATCAGAACGACTAAATTACCTACAATTAAATCAAGACAAACTATGAAAAGAACTATATTAAGAACTTCATGATTCTTATCAGTCAGGACTAACAAATGCAGCAGAAATAGAAATCTGAACTATTTTACCATTATCATTTATAGAAAGCCCCCGTGATATATATCAGAGATACCAAGATGCAATGGCATTAGTACAAATATTTAACAAGCCAAATTTATTCATCACAATTACCTGCAACCCCAAGTGGTATGAAATTACTTCCAAACTATTACTAGGGCAAACATTACAAGACAGACTCGATATTATAGGTACAAAAAAATCATTCATAAAATTTAAATCTTCTTATCAAAAAAAATATATTTTTAAAAAACGTATTGAAAACTTAAACCACTTAAATAAATCAATTTCTCTACTTAAAGTCAAAATTTAAACACACTTACTACTTAACAACTAAACCAATTTTAAAATATTTAAGCTCGAATATTTTGCGCCAAATTAAAAGATATAGCCAAAGACATCTTTGAAAAAAATATATTTGGTTACGTTATAGCTCAAATATATGTTATAGAATTTTAAAAATATGGGCTCCCATACACACATTTATTAATAATTCTCCATCCCAATAATAAACCATGTGGAGCAAACAATTACGACACTGTTATTTCTGCCAAAATTCCAGATATTGAAACACAACTGAGGTTATACCAAACCATTACGACAAATATATTATATAGTCCATATGAACTATTAATCTGAAGCACCATATATGAGAAATGGAATTTGTACTAAAAACTACTCTAAGAATTATGTTAAGAAACAAGAAAAGATAATAATTCCTACCCTGTATATCGATGTTGTGATAATGGCCAAAAAATTTTCTACAGAAATGCTTGGTTAGACAATCGTTAAGTTATCCCATATAATCCTTACTTAATATTTAAATATAATTGTCATATAAATATTGAAACCTGTTCGAGTATAAAGTTAATAAAGTATCTATACAAATACGTATACAAAGGACACGATTGAACCTTATTTTGTATAACAAATCATGATGAAATAAAACAATACTTAGATGCTTGATGGATTTCTGCATCGAAATCCTGCTAGTAAATCTTTAGTTTCGACATATTACAAATAAATTCATCTATACAATGCCTGCAAATTCATCTTCCTCATTAGCAAATCATAACCTTTTCACAAAATATTAATCTTAACAATATAATCAACAATGAAAGAAATAAAAAAATGATATTAACGGAGTATTTTAAAATAAATAAAATCGATTCTAATGCAAAAAACTATCTATATTGCAAATTTTCACATTACTATGTCTGGAACAAAACTGAAAAAAAAATAGACAAAACATTGTCAGGAAAACATGATCGGAAGAATATACACAGTAAATCCAAATGAAGGCGAAAAATACTATCTACGAATACTTCTGAATCATGTAAAAAGTGCTACATTATTTGATGATCTTAAAAAAGTTGAGAATTATCAGTATACAACTTTTCAAGAAAGCACATTACTATGCGGAATTATTGAAACCAAAAATCTATACCGCCAAACAATGAATAAGGCTAAACAATTTAAAATACCATCAGCACTTCAATGATTGTTTGCAATTATACTGATTTTTGCAGAACCAGGAAATATTTAAACTCTCTGAAATAAAAATTTTGACGCAATGTCCGAAAACTTTGTAAAGAAAGGCATTATATATAGCCAACGCTATTCTTCTTGAAATTAAAAGCATTTTAGAATATCATAACAGAAGTCTAAATGAATACGATTTACTACCGCTAAACCTGACTAACAACTACAGTAAACAAAAACTTTCAAAACTATTATTAGAAGAATTAAATATTCCAATAAATTATGATGACCTGAAGAAAATTAAACTACTAAATAATGACCAAAGAAAAATATTCGATAAAATAATAAACTACATACTGTAGAAAAAAATCAACCAGGCATTTTTCTTGTTAACGGACCAGCAGGATCAGAGAAAACTTTTCTTTATCTTTGCTTGCTCAGTATAATCCGCTCACATTTTTTAGTTGTACTTGCAACAGCTTTGTCGGGTATTGCCGCACTAATCATACGACAGATCTAGGATGTAGGTGAGATTTTCCGGGTCCGGCCTCCGATCACTCATCCGATCAAGATCGGGCAAATCCCCTAGTTACAC